TTGTGCCGTAGCATTAGGCTACTAGTGACCTTCTGAATGTACATCAGAAGGAGGATCCGATGCTTCTGGACTGCAGTTGACCATGGGGAACTGAAACCATAGAGAGCAAAACCGCGGATGGGGGTGCTGGGCAACGACAGTCCTCCATAATATAGTCCCTTTAGCCAGACTGGCATTGCATTTTCTTTATGTGTAGTTTCCCACGAGTTAAGGTTTTTCCATGCTGGCTCTGCCTCCTCACCATCTTGAAATGCGATTTCACTCTCCTGGCTCTTGTGCAGATACAGAAGATCCCAGTGGGTTAATGTGAATAACTGGTTCTTACTTGCAGCAATTGCTTCGAGAATTCTAACACTTTCGACACAGCTTTGTGTTACTTCACACAGTTTTCATGCTGTAATAGTGGGGGCCACATGCTCTAGAACTCGGACCTTAGGCTATTTTGGCTTTTGAAACACAAGAGAACAAAAGTACTTTGGTTTCGTTGTTAATGCTCTTGATATTTCAGCTCTCCTGAGGTTTTGAAAGGTCATCATTAGGATCAAGTCTGAACTGGGGCGCCTGGGTGGCTCAGTCGGCTAAGCATCCGACTTCAGCTCAGGTCATGATCTTATAGTTTGTGGGTTCGAGCCCCACGTCAGGCTCTGTGCTGACAGCTCAGAGCCTGGAGTCTGCTTCGGATTCTGTGTCTCCCTCTCTCTCTGCTCCTCCCCTGCTCACACGCTGTCTGTCTCTCTCTCTCTCAAAAATAAATATAAAAAATTTTTAAATTTCCAGGTGCCTGGGTGGCTCAGTCGGTTAGGCATCTGACTTCAGCTCAGGTCATGATCTCTCAGTTAATGAGTTCAAGCCCCACGTCAGGCTCTGTGCTGACAGCTCAAAGCCTGGAGCCTGCTTCAATTCTGTGTCTCCCTCTCTCTCTCTGCTCCTCCCCCACTCACGCTCTGTCGCACTCTCTCTCTCAAAAATAAAAAAAGATTTAAAAATTTTTTTAAAAAAGGATCAAGTCTGAACTTAAAAGCCCCTATTTTTGGACTTTTTTTCCTTTTTAGCTGGATTGCTAGATTCTGAAATCTAGGGTGGGTGGAACGAGAAGAGAAGCCAATGTTAATCTAGTTAATCTTACTTAAAAATACATCCTTTTTATTGACTTCATCATTTTATGAAGGAGGAAGAAACTGAGATCCTGTGATAGGTCTTGCCTAAGGTGCAATGGCAGTGATGGAGTGGGAAGAACAGGATAACGTGTCTTGTCTGAAGACACGTTGCTAGGCAGAAAGATTCCTTAGACAAATCCAAAATATTGAGACTGGGGAGCCTGGGTGGCCCAGTCGGTTGAGCATCCGACTCTTGATTTCGGTTCAGGTCATGATTTCACAGCTTGTACGTTCAAGCCCCATATCGGGCTCCAAGCTGACAGTGGGGAGCCGGCTTGGGATTCCCTGTCCCTCTCT